AAAAAGTGATAAAATAAAAAAAATTATAAAAAGTAAAATATAATAATAAAAAAAAATGTAGGCATTAATGGTCTCTGGTCACGAAAAGGTTAATAACGCACTTTATTTTGTTTAGGAGGCTTATAAAGACATACTGGATACGGCAACAAAGCACATAAATGACCTGCTTGATCTTGATACAACTTACAAGGAACACTTCCCTCTTCCTGTCAAAAATATTAAAGGAAAGAGGCAAGTAATTTTTTTCTTATATAAACATTAGACATGATTACTAAAATTGTGGCTCTTAATATTTTTTATTATTTAATCTCTAACCTACGTTAGACATGGCTTCCCTTGTCTTCATTTCTTCTTTTTTTTTCTTTTCCGCATATAAATGTTTTTATTATTTTTTTATCACAAAAGACAATCGACAATACAAAACATCACAGTATGCGGTGCGCAGACCGTAGCATCGACAGTATGACGTGTAGTAGTAGTAGCTAAATACATGTTGTATTTCAGATAGGGGGTGGTTCCAGGTAGGTTTCGGGTCTATCACATTGATGGGGTAGTAGACCTGGTTAGACAGTGATCCACGGGAAAAATCATAGCATATATATGTAATAGTGTCATAGCATTGGTACGTATGGCATATAAACTAGTTGGGATCCTAGATGAGAAGAAGGGTCAGTTAATTATTCGTCACTGAGGAATGTAGGGTAGGAGATACTCTGGATTCTTCTCAAGTACCCTTAGGAGTTCCAAAGGCTGTGTAATGTCAGAGGATGGCGGTATCTAGGCTACTTCTAGTTTAGTTTGTAACCAGCCGGTTAGAGCGTCAGGCAACGACACCACAAAACACAGACAGGACGACATAAGGTAGGGGGGACACACAGGTAGAGAAGGGGATCATCAGGCAGTAGGGGGGTCAGGTGTTAGAGAGGAGGGAGAAGAGAGGGAAAAAAAGGGGGGGAAGAAGAGTCGGGTTGTACAGTGGCGCTAGAGGACTAAATACAAGGCAGGTGTGGTAGGTTAGTTTAAATGATACATAGGCGGCGAGGGGTGCCTGGGGCCAAATATGTGTCTATCCACGGGGACCAGGTGTTCTTAAATTTGGTCATTCTATCGCTAAGTTGCGCAGTTTGTTTTTCATGAGCCATAACCCAATGGACATGATTTATGACACTGGTGAGACTTCGGGAAGATGTCAGCCAGTTCTTCGCTATCTCTCTTTTAGCGGAGGTGCAGGTATGCATTGAAAGGTTGAACTGTCTACGAGAGAGGCCCTCTGGCCTGCAGTTGAGAAGTGCAAAGTAAAGGTCCTTAGGTATCGGTACCGAGAACAGAGATAAGAGGATATTAAGTATTAGCTCCCAAAAGTCAGAGACCTGTTGGCAGTTCCACCAAATGTGGAAAAAAGTGCCTCGATCAGGACAACCTCGAAAGCAGTTGGGAGAGCAGTCGGGGTTGTAGATAGCCACTCTAGTAGGCACCAGGTACCAGCGCCTAAGTACCTTATAGTTAAGTTCCAGCATGCTTGCACATCTTGAGCTGCTCCTAGTATTAGCCCAGGACTGTTCCCAGACTTCGTCGGCAGTAGTCGAACCCAAGGTCCTTGTCCCGGTATCTCACATAAGAGGGGGGGGCGTATCTGTGGGGGAGACTAGAATGGCGTAGAGGAGCGAGATTAGTCCAGGGCTGTGCGGGTCATTGCGGCAAATTTTCTCGAAGGGGGACATTAATCGGGGGCCCCTCTGTTTTGGGGTGGATGTAGTTATGTAGTATGTAGTTTGTAATTTGGAGGTATCGGAATATCTCTTTGTTTGGTAGTTGTTTGTGTTCCTGCAGGTGCGTGAAGGGTTTCACCCCGAGTCAGATTGTAGTTGCTAGAAGTAGGTAAGGTTGTGGACGGTCCAAGCCCTGAATCTCGAAGAATCAGTTAGAGCAGTAGTGAAGGAAGGGTTGTCAAGGATGGACATGAGTGGTGAAATGAGACCGTACCGTGTTTTGATGGAGTCCCACAGTCTGAGGGAGTGAGAAGTTATGAGGTTTGAGATGGGGGGTCTGTGTTTTGGAGCCAGCCATAATAGGTTGGCTACTGATTCAGGCTTCACTATGAAGCCTACTTGGTCGTTTGAGGCGGACACTGAGGCTGTGCGGGCCGTTACCTCATGTGAGCGGGCCGCGGGCTCCATCTTTGCCGCGGCTCGGGCCATCGCTTCTATGATGGGCTGTTGTTTCCCCTTCTGAGGGTGTTTGGGCGTCGAGGACGACATGGTCCGGTGCGTGGAGGATTCCAGGTTGCCGGCTGGAGCAAGAAGATGGGTGAGGAGGGTGAACTTCCGGGCTACGAACGGGATTGCCTGGGTGAGCTGCAGAGCCGTCTCAGAAGGCTTCCTTCATCGGCAGCTGCGTGCATGCGCCCACGTCTTCATTTCTTTTTTTATCCATATCCTACTTCTTAAGAATGCTATTTGAATTGAGGAATTTTGACCGCCATTTAGTTTTAGAATTAAAAAGTGGGACACATAGCAACAGCTGCTGCTTATCTTTATTAATTCCACACAAAATTTGACCATTTATGAAAATGAATGTGAATGAGGGTTGGGTCAAGGCAGAAAGGTCAATTTCTTTTTTTATTTGAAGGTGAAGTTTTCTCCAGAACCCCTATCAAAGGCGAGCCCAAAGACTCCTTTAGTACATTTTTACATATAGGTAACCTGTTTAACCAGGCTTTGTCTCATTGTCAGTGCTAAGTAGAAGGCATTACTATGCACTACTAGATGTTGGTATTCTGCAGTATGTTATACCCTTGTAAAATCTGCATGTTTGTTAAGTTGGCCATACACTCTAAGATTGTTCTCATTCAGCCCTGTGGGCTGTACAAGAGATATCAATCAATTCCCCCATCCATGCTAAAGAGCGTGGATAGAGGAATCTTACCTGCCAACAATTGTATTCTTCAGGGATTCTAACAGCCGCGCGTGCTGGCTGTCAGAATACTCCAGGAGTGAGGGCCCATTCACACCTATTGCAGTGCGTTCCAGTGCGGTAACTGCAGGAACGCAGTGCAATTGCTCACTAAACTTCCCCCTTCATTCTGGGGTGGGAGGGGGAGTGGCGGTGCATTGAAGTCAATAGCACCGCAGCCAGGTACCCTGCCCTCGTCCATTGCCCGCGTTCTGTTCCACTCCAAACCCATGGGTGCGATGCCATTGACTTCAATGCACCGCCACACCCCCTCCCACCCCAGAACGAAGTTTAGTGAGCGAATGCTGTAGGTTTCAGCCGCTACTGCTCTGGAACGCCCCGCAATTGGTGTGAACAAGCCCTTACTGCAACTGATTAGCTGCAATCACTGTCCGGCCAGCAATTTTCCACCCAGCTACTTCAACATAAGTCAAATTCATTTTGGTTGGTTGAGCAGGAAAAGACCAAAATGTGATCTGCGTATGGTCAGCTTTAAATGTAAACAGAGATAAAAATACAGCAATGCAGTTATGCATTCATTAAAACATCATGAAATATATTCTTAAGGGCAGCAAGTGTAGGTACATAAAATTCTTGATATCGGCCTTTGTGAACCCGTGTATAGTAGATTATATCATGGGAGAGGAAGGGGCAAGGCTAGGACACAATCATGGCAAGCCATGACAAAGGGAGAAATATCACATCTCAGGATAAGAGTATGTGTGTGGGCATCATATATTGTATTTCATGTTTATGCTGTGTCTTTTTTATAGGTACTATATGATTGCAATCCAGCTTGAAGACTTTTATCAAACAATGCAGAAAAAGCAGTGGTGGGGAGCGGTTAATGGAATAATAAGCACAATGAAGCCCAAAAGGCTTCCACTGACTGACATTCAGCTCCACGAACAATTCAAGAAGAAGTTTGGATATAAAAAGGCACTAAAGTGCAAGGTATGTTATCTGATGTTTTTGTATTTGCATCATTTAAAAAAAAACTAAAACATATAGCCAAACAATTTTTTAAGTTTTGGCTTGCTGTCTGCATCCAACTGAGGAGATATCCTATACATTCCTGTCCTCAAGCTACAACAGGGCATGTGAGGATATCTCTCCAAAGTGAGGAGAATTCCCATCGAAGATAGTTGTCACCGACACAAGTGTTAGTGTTGGATGATTAAGCGTTGCAGCTTGTTCTAGTGCCAACTCTAAGGCCTTATTCACACAGCATAAACTCGAGTTGTACACGTCTGTGTGGCGTGCACGCCCGTATCAGGCCGTTCACGGGAGGGACAGGTGCTCAATGTGATTGCACGCAGTAGCAGTAGCTTTTATTTGAACATATCTAAGGTAAGTCTTGGGTGACCTTGATCTCTTTTTTTGGGGGGGGAGGGGCAAAGATTCTGTTGTCAGCTGCCTATGATTTACAAAGAGAAGTGTACTAGTGATGGAAGTGTAACCAGTGGCTTATCAGTATTAGCAATCCAAGAACATGGGGTTATTTGTCTGCTTTGCTTCTGTACCCAATGATCTATTTTATACATTAATAGAGAATATAAGCAAGAGAATACTTTATGAAATCATCTTGTGATAAATCTGATTTGGAATTTCTCTCTTTTAGAACATAGTGTTTGGATTAAAAGCTGCCACAGAGAGGGGACTAACCGCCATCTTCTACACTTTTTGCCGTAAAACTCCTATTTCTGGGCTGAATATACTTGATGATGGCGGCTATTCTATATTACACCATGCGGCTTTACATAATAGAGTGGCAATTGTTTCCCAGTTAGCAAAAGCTGGTGTGGATTTAAACCAACAACGAAGTAATCCTTCCAATACACAAGGTGAATTTTCCAGTTCTGTATATATCTTTATTTCGCAGAGTAACATGGAATCATTTGATGATCATAAACGGATTGATTGCTAATGAAAGCAAACAAGGGTGAGTAGAGATGTCTTTTGCTGCATTAGAGAAAACAGTAGGTCCCCCTGCACTCCTTACAGCGCTTCCGGTCCAAGTGAAAATAGTGGTGCTCGCAGTGACAATCACGGATGGCGCCGTGTACAACAGTCAATGAACAATAGAAATCACCAGCACTCCGTAAATGAAATTCAAAAAAAAGTCCATTTATTTGGACTAAACGTCACACATATCACATAATCCAAGGATTATGCGATATGTGTGACGTTTAGTCCAAAAAATTTACTTTTTTTGAATTTCATTTACTGAGTGCTGGTGATTTCTATTGTTCATTGACTTTTGCTGCATTTGCACATGATATAAAACTGAACTTCTGGTTTATTTGGACTAAACGTCACACATAGCACATAATCCAAGGATTATGCGCTGTGTGTGACGTTTAGTCCAAATAAATTGACTTTTTTTGAATTTCATTTACGGAGTGCTGGTGATTTCTATTGTTCATTGACTGTTGTACACGGCGCCATCTGTGATTGTCGCTCTGCCTCTTCCCCCGCCTTCTCCCCACCCGTCTGCCACTTTTGCCATCCATGTAACAGTAGTGTGAATAGTCAGGTGATGTGAGGACTCTTAGTAAGTCCATGAAAGGGACGACTGGCTAGGGGATGGTACTCTCCTCCCACTGGGCTCCCTACATGGTTCTGGCCTTACTCCGCTCCATGTGCGGTACTTAGGCTCTCTCGCCCACTGTAGACCGCCGCTGGCTGTCCATGCTTCTGGGCTGTGAGAGGTTAGTGGGAGGGGCTGGACAGTGTCAAAGTCAGCGTTCTCTCACTTTTCTGGATCCTATACATTTTCTCGACTGTGTCACTTCCGGTGGGGCCACGTCATCCGAATCAGCTGTTTTCATGACCCCCTTTCTTCATGACATGCGCACCTGGAAGTGACGCGGTAGAGAAATTAATGGGTTGAGGAAAATTATAGCACACTGGTAGTGGAGGGATGCCTCGTCAGTGCTGTGCGGGTGTACGACTGCTGCGACCCTGGTAGTTCTGCCACTAACTCCAAGCTGTAGAGGGACTACAAATCTCAGCACAAAAACAATGTAGAATAATACCACCAGCTATAGAGGACTATAAATCTCAGAAATACGTTGTACAGCATTGCAGAATGGCATTGGCTATAGAGAACTACAATTACAAGCAATACATTACACAACAATGCAGAATACCATCAGCTGTAGAGGACTATAAATCCCAGCAATAATGACTACCAACAGCTATAGAGAACTACAATTCCCAGCAATACAATTATACAGCAATGCAGAACAGCATCAGCTATAGAGAACTACAAATCTCAGCAATACATTTAACAGCAATGCAGAATAATATGAAGCTACATACTCTGTTGCTCTGGGTTTGCCGCCTGATGTCTCCAGGGTCTCAGGAGGGTTGTTTGAGCTCTCACCAGGGGTCCAGAGAGTTTCACGGGTGCAGGTGTGTGCAGCAGAGGCAGCTCCCTACTTAGGCTCAATATGAAGCTACATACTCTGTTGCTCTGTCAGTGCGGGCTCTCTGCTGGTCAGTGCGGGATCTGTGGTGGCCAGTGGGGGCTCCCTAATAATCAGTGGTGGCTCTGTGGTAGCTCCCAGGTGGGTAGTGGGGGTTCCACTGTGGTCAGTGGGGGCTCCCTGGTGGTTGCAGGGGGCTCTGTGGTGGCCAGTGGAGGCTCCCTGGTGGTTAGTGGGGGCTCTGTGGTGGCCAGTGGAGGCTCCCTGGTGTAGGGTGACCATTCATCTAGAGCTGCAGCTAACGGTTATTTTCAAAATTGAATAGTTAACCGATTTTCAAGTTCAATTAACCGGTTAATCAGGATAATGAAAAAATGGCTCCAGTGATGGGACTACTCGTTTGTATTGAGATTGTAGTCCATCACGGGAGAAACCTTGGAGCGGTGAAAGTAACAAAAAAAAAGTGTGGTGTGCAATATAGTAAAATGTTAAATTATACAGCAATGAATGCAGAATCCTGCCAGCTATAGAGGACTACAAAACCCAGCATTGTACTATTGCTGGGATTTGTAGTCCTCTATAGCTGGTGGTATTCTGCATTGCGCTGTATGATGTATTGCTGGGTTTTGTAGTCCTCTATAGCTGGTGGTATTCCGCATTGCGCTGTATAATGTATTATTGCTGGGATTTGTAGTCCTCTATATAGCGCAGTGCAGAATACCACCAGCTATAGGGGGATACCGTAAATCCCAGCAATACATTATACATACAGTGTTTAATGTATTGCTGGGATTTGTAGTCCTCTATAGCTGATGGTATAAAATACAGCACAATGTACCATCAGCTATAGAGGAATACAAATCCCAGCAATACATTATAGAGCACCATGTGTGGGAAAGTGCAGGCTTACCTGAGCAGTCTTCCAGCAACTTGCTTCTGAGATCGGCTGTCATCCCCTCACGCCTGCTCCTCCTTCTTGTTCTCCCCGTATTGAGGAGACCATCCCCAGACAAATTATGTCCCTGGGAACATAAAATAAACCATTTTTTTTTTAATACTCACCTAATCCCTGGATCTACCAACAAGCACAGCCTCCCGTCTACCACGCTGTCAGAAGCGGCATACAGCCTGTGCTGGTTACTACTTAAACCGTCGCGCTGTGTGCAGCTTCTGTGAAGATGCGCTATTAGCGCAGCGAGGAAGCTGGCTGCGCATCTTACATAGGTCGCACACGCTGTATGCAGTTTCTAACAGCGTGGGAGACGGGAGGCTGCGCTTGTTGGTGCATCCAGGTTTTAGGTAAGTATTTTTTTTAAAAATTGTTTATTTTATGTTCCATGGGACAGAAAACACTTAATAAAAATACTTTGAAAGATAAAAATGTCCCCTAAGAATGTTGTTAATTTACCTTACCCTGGTGGTCAGTGGGGGGCTCCCTTAGCCCTAGTTGTGGGGGGGTCTGCTGTGGCCACAGCTGCAGTGGCTCCCTCCCTCCTCAGCCTCTCTGCCAAATGCACCCGGCCGGCGGGCCAGCACGCCTGCATCAGATGCTGCTCTGTAACCGGCGGCCGCTTGCTCCTCAAGTGTGTACTCGCGAGGCCCCAGCGGGTGGCCCTCTACAGTGCCTGATCCAGCCAGCCTGGATTGCCTCGTATGCGATCAGGCACTGTAGAGGGCCGGTTACAGAGCCACATCTGATGCGGGTTGGCCGGGTGCAAGTGGGTCGGTGACGGGGCCGTTTTTAATAGCATCAAAAAACGGCCCAGTCCGCCCCTGTTTATTGCCCAATCAGCAGGCTGGAGATGGGAAGGTGACACCACTGTATTCCTTATCTCTAAATGAGAAAATTGTGCCACCCTTTTGGCTGTGCTGTCTGCCAGATGTGTATTAATCACAAAGTGGCTCAGTGTTTGTCCTATAATATAGGAAAATCTACATACACCATAGATTGTGCTTTAGTATTTATTTTTTGTTTCATAATGTTATTTGTTTACTACATAGGGAAGCAGGGTCTTCTCGATCTGGAAACTGTCATTGAAAGAACAGGTATGTTATTAGTATTACGTAAAGAACACGTATTTCTGTTAATTCACCTTCTCACTAAATATTAGGGGCAAAAGCATGAGAATAACCAAATAACACTTTTATTGGCCTGTACCTAAGCAGTGTAGGAGGACTACACAGGAAGTCACCTGGATAGCTTATTGTTTTATGCACTGCAACCCGGAAACGGTAAAACTCCTGCCTCCTGTCTGTACTAAGACCAGACCAACCAAGTTTAATATAGTTTTCTGGTGGCACATTTATATTTATATATAATAGTGTTTGAGGATGGAGTAGCTTGTTTCCAGAGAGCCAACGTACAGGCTTTTGCATTGGTAAAGAAGTGCACCAGGAATCACATTTTCAAGGGTTATGTTGGAGATATGTCTCAGGATCATCTCCCCATTGCACTATTATAAATTGTTATCGATTCAGTTGTTCGGTTTAATGCTGAACTCCAGGCAGATATAAAAGACACAAATTATTGCAACTCTGTATTCATTAATACGCATTCTATTATTTTGTAAATGTATGTCTTTATTCAACCTCAAATACTATGTAACTATGTAATGTAAGTACCTGAATTGGCGGTATCAGCCTCTAACAGTCCCTGTACGGCAAAACTCAGACTGGAGAAAGGAAAAAACAGCACAAGGAAGCAATCAGTTGTGGTGTAGCACTCATGTGATAACAAGGAACAGAGTGACAGATATAAACTCACCAATCTGCTGCACCTCCTTTACTGTCCAGAGACATGTATGGATGTCCTGCTGCACTCCTTACCAGATATCCCTGTGCAAGATGGGTGATGAAATGATCGCGGATGGCGGCGCTTGGATCAGAGCATGAACACAATGTCACCAGCACATCATGGTAAAGTGTCCAAAGGAACGTTTGTCATTATTGAAGCATATTGTCACTCGTAAAGCACAACGTTTTGGGGCCGCCCAGGGTCCCCTTCATCAGGCTCAAAATGACAATGAGTGTTACAAATGTAAACCTTTTTACAGACATGCACCAAAGTGGAAAGCTGTGAACTCAGATAATCCGTCTCCCTCCCTCTCCCATTCAGTACTGCTCACATCGGTCCACCAACACAGGTACTTATACGGGTTCATGATTACTTTGTGTATTTTGTTATGCTTTTGATCGATTTTGCTGACAGTGTTTATTTGGAATGTCTGTATGGCGGGAACATGACATCATTGTGACGTCAAGGGGGTTGGGGACCGGATTATCTGAGTTCACAGCTTTCCACTTTGGAGTATGTCTATAAAAAGGTTCACATTTGTAACATTCATTGTTATTTTGAGCCTAAAGAAGGGGACCCTGGGCAGCCCTGAAACATTGCGCTTTATGAGTGACAATATATACGTCTATTAAAGGAGAATTATGAGGCGAGTGATTTTCACTCAGCCTCATAATATGAGCCGACCTGTGACAATGAAACTGTCACAAGTCGGCTCAGTAGATCGGGAAGTGAGCGAGCACATACCGTCGCTTGCTCACTTCTCGATCTATCCCTGCAGAGAGCCGTGACTGTCACTCCTGGCTCCCTGCAGGGATTCCCCCCCTCCGCTGTCCGATCCTCCAGCCATGACTGGCGGAACGGACGGGGGAGGGGGCGGGCACAGCTGGCTCTGCCTCTGGATAGGCAGAGACAGCTGTCAATCCCTCAGCTGGGTGGATCTAAACAGCGATGTCGGGATCCGTTCCGGCTGCCGCGTCTCAGTATACCGTGAGCTCTGAGCTTTGGGTCATGGGAGAACGCTAGTTTGTGTTCTCCCGTGACCCTGGGGAGAACTATGGGGAAAAGCCCTGACCCCATAGTTCTCCTTTAAGACAGACTTCCTTTGGACACTTTATCGCGGTGACATTGTGTTCATGCTTCTTTACTGTCCAGTCACCAGCTTGGGAGGAGGAACAGGACCTGTAAGTTACTGAACTGCAGCAGAAAAAAAATCAGTCTTCTACCCTGTGCTGTGTGCCAGAGCGGCGTAAATCCGCTCTGGATTGGCAGAAATACAAATCCTTTGGTAGCTAAAACTGCCTCCATATATGTATTTAATCTGCTTATTCAGTTGTCTGGGCTTAAAATGTAAGCCTTCCAACTCCTACTCTAAATTAATAAATACCCTACAACAATACACACCAGTGGAGAAGATACTGGGGCTCGGTATATAAAAGATAATATTGAATTAAGGAGAGAGAAGGTAATTACATCAGCTCCACTTCAAAACAAAATCCTGCTTTCAATTGCATTGGCAGTTTCCTGTAAATGTCTTTATTCTGCTTGTCTGTCAATAACCAGTTATTCTTCTTATCTCTGTATTTAGGACCCACAGCCTTACACTTGGCAGCTCAGTGTGGCTCACTTGAAGTTCTTTCTTGCCTGCTGGCTTTAAAGGCAGATTACAAGTTATGTGACAAGCGTGGCTGGATGGCAATACATGTTGCTGCATTCTATGGCTCAATTCCCTGCATCAGAGAGCTATACAGGAAGGACCCTGATCTTCTAGAGGCAGAAACAGCAGCTGAGTGAGTTGATATGCAAGCAGCAATATACTTTGTTAGGTGTAATAATACCATTATAAGGGTTGGCATGGTAGCCGTGTTTTCCATGGATAACTCATTTGCACCTAAAATCCCCTACATGTTGGTAATGCCTAATGTAGTCATACACTTGCCCCTATCACACGGCTCCCTGGTTTTACTTGGACCAGAAGATGCAGATATAGCGAACATTCACAGGTTACCTTTTGATGAAATGTGATGTATCTGAGAACAACTGAATATGAAGCAGTGTAAATAAGGCAGAAATGAGGCAGGCGGCCTTGGTTGATTACAGTGGGGACATAAGGTCTGTGTTTATCTCCATGTTATGTGAATTGGGAGTTTCCACACTTTAGTGAATTGAAAATGTTTGCCTTTCACTTTTTCAGTTAAATTTTGTCAAACAAGCCTGCCTGAAAGTCTTTGGCTGAACAGTGACTCCTGCCAATCAGCTCCAGTCGCTGTTTGTGTATTCTGACAGTAGCATACCCTCAACTGTCAGACTACAATAGCCGGCAGGGAAGATTCCCCATCCACCCTGATTAGCGTAGAAGAGGGAAACGCTAGGCATAGGGTGAGCTTAAGTCTAGCCATTCCCAGCCTAGTATGTACTTGTAATTGCAGGTATTTTTAGCTAAGGACACATTCATACTTTTATGAATAATTGCATGCTGGAATCAGAAAAAAAAGGTTCAAGGTACATGTGGCAGAAACACGACTGGATATTGGTCACTTGATCTTGATTGGGTCTTGGGTTATTGCCCAGTTCCATTTCAGGAGAGGCTGCCCGAAGAATGTCGCTTACATGTAGGTCACATTGAGTTGCTGCACCCTTTATACTATGAAGATCCTAAGGGAAGCTGTTAAAAACCAAACTGGTAAGATCCAAAGTCCAGGAACGCTTTCACATGCATCCCTTGTACTTGGTCATGATGTCACCAGTCACATGGTCAGCTGCTGCAAAGGCATGGGAATATGTAACTGTTCAACTCGGCTCTCAGGAGCTTTGCTGCATAACTGTACAGCGGGGAGGATGTGATAGAACAGCACCATTCAGTTTGATCTGCCTTTTAAAAGAGAAATAAATATATTTATTTATTTCTCTCTCTCTCTCTCTCTCTCTCTCTCTCTGTTTCTCTCTCTCTGTTTCTCTCTCTCTGTCTCTCTCTCTCTGTTTCTCTCTGTCTCTGTGTGTGTCTCTCTCTGTCACTCTCTCTCTGTCTGTGTCTCTCTCTCTGTCACTCTGTCTCTCTCTCTCTGTCTGTGTCTCTCTCTCTGTCACTCTGTCTCTCTCTCTGTCTCTGTGTGTGTCTCTCTCTGTCACTCTATCTCTGTCTCTGTGCGTGTCTCTCTCTGTCACTCTCTCTCTGTCTCTGTGTGTGTGTCTCTCTCTCTGTCACTCTCTCTCTCTGTGTGTGTGTCTCTCTCTCTGTCTCTCTCTCTTTCTCTCTCTCTGTGTCTCTGTCTCTCTCTCTCTCTCTCTCTCTCTCTCTCTCTGTGTGTGTCTCTCTGTCTCTGTGTGTGTCTCTCTCTCTCTCTGTCACTCTCTCTCTGTCTCTTGCCCATGATTGGGCAAATTAAATGATATTGCATTTTATTTTGAAATTCCATTATCATTTTAAAGCTTATAGAAGATTTCAGTGATTAGGTTTACATCTACTTTAGTGTCTCCCTGATTAGATGGACTTGAATGTGTTTTAGGCAGAAACTTGCACTATTTAATTGTTGTTAGAGTTTGTTGATTGGGCAGTTAAAATCTGAAACACAGGTTGTATGTGGCCAGTCTTAACTCTGCAGTGTCTTGTCCTATGCACGCTAGCTTTTTTGTTGTTATTGTTGAATATTATTAATAACCGACCTTACTTACATTTAAGCATTTGCTGTTTTACAGGTATAAGTCTACTGTATTGCTGCTCACTGCAATATCTGGAGCCCTCGTTACCCTTCAATACCTTCTTTCTTTAGGAGCAAACTGGAAAAAAGTGGACAGCATGGAAAACAACATAATCCATTTAGCTGTGCTTTACTTCCATACACACATACTGAAATACATAATAGAATTAAATATTCCAGAACTCAATGTATGGCAGCATCTTGTAGGTAATGGTAATGACAACTATTATTCATTTTTTTTTTTTTACGGTATAGGTAAATACAATTGAATACAAGGGGGTTAGGAGGGCCCTGATCATGAAAGCTTACAATCTACACAGACTTTAAACAATGCTTATAAATTCAGCTCTTATGGCTTGTTTGTACTGGTTGTATTGATATTATGGGGGTTGTTCACAAAGTAGCTGAAGGATCCAGCTGTAGCTTGGGCTGATCCTTTGGCTCTCTTCGGCTGCTGGAGCCCTTCGGTACAGTCGAACCGAAGGGCTGCTGTATGGGCTATTCACTATAGCCCGTACAGCAGCTGAAGGCGTCCGAGCGGTTCAGCCGAGCTGAAGGCATATGCTTCAGCTCGACTGAGCCGAAGTGACACCCGAAGTGGGGGAACGGCCGGTCGAATGCCGGGCTTTCTACCCGCAAATGACAGCAGTGTCACGGCCGGCTCCGCCCAGTTGTAATGACAGATCAGCGTTCCCTAATGACCTGGGGACGCTGAACTATCATTAAACAATAACAACTGGATAGAGCTGGCCTAGCAGGTTCAGGCCAATAGGAAACAATTGGGCTGAGCTAGCTGTCACTGCTAGCTCCACCCATTGTTCTTCTTTTTTTTTTATGTATTTACATTTTTCAATTTATTTACATTTAAAAAAAAAATTTTAACTTTTTTTTAAAACTATTATCATTGATTTACTAATCTGCCCGGTACCACAGAGGTACCAAGCTTAATAGCCAAGCCTATGAGGCTATGAGCCAGTGAGGCTATTCACTCACTGCCGTTCGGCCCATATGAGAAAAGGGGCGAACGGCAGTGAGTGAGCTGCCGAAGCTTTGGCTCAGCCAATCCAGATGTTGGATCGACTGAGTCAAAGTCCTTCTGCACTTCGGCTCAGCCGAAGTGCAGAGCATGTTCGGCTGACCGAAGTGCAGAGCATGTTCGGCTGACCGACGTGCAGAGCATGTTCGGCTGACCGACGTGCAGAGCATGTTCGGCTGACCGACGTGCAGAGCATGTTCGGCTGATTTCAGCCGGTGTATGGCTGAAATCAGCTGTACTGAGCCGTAGTGAATAGCTGAACGTTGTTTGGCTCACTTCACTTACGGCTCGGTCATTCACTCGGCTGCTTTGGGAATAACCCCGTATATTATTATAACTGTAATTAAAAACTTCATGCCTTGTCTGAGTATTAAAGGTAGAAAGCTTATGCAAAAAATACTAAATGCAATCAAGTTTTCTATATGTAGTAATTCATGTTTTATAATTTAAAACACAAGCAATAAACCCACCAAATATTTGGAGATGGTAGTCAGTAACTCTATAGCCAAATAAGTATTTAGAGTGGCTGGTGCATAAAACCTTTAAACTGGCAAACCCTCCACTGTGCCAAAAAATCCCCAAGGATCAAATACAAATTTAGGATAAAAGGCCCCTGCTGGTCATTGTGTGCTTTTTCCATGTATAGTAAATCCTGATTGCTGCTTTAGTTATAAATCTAGCCTGCTTTCTGGTTCTTGTAGTTTCTCTGTCTGAACCTTCCAACTGATGAGACTTGCCGTGAGCACTTCATGTCCTAACTCATGCCTATTATTCAACTTTGGCCAGACCTATCTATTTTTTAGCTAAAAATTAGTATATCAGAGAGACTTATATGCCAGTTCTATCTTTTTCTGTCCAGGAGAAATTTGTAATTTTGCTGTAAATAGATTTTTTAGACAGCAAACTGGATCTTTACTGGATGTAACAGAAAATGTCACATAAATAAGTCAATTTACTAAGCTGTATGACTTTTTTTCATAGCTTTGATCAATATATTATAACATTTTTTACATATTTAAAGTGTTTTTTCTCAAAAACAAAAACATATTACAACATAATTTTATCATCAAAACATTCAAATTACATACAAAATACCGTGTAACTGTGGAATATTTTTCCAGAAGGAAAGCTAGTAGACTAATAGTTGTCTAGTAGGAGCCCAGCAAAAACATGGTATCTGGCAAGAGAAAGCTTTTTCTTGGCTCCAGTCTGGCTTGGTTTTGTTGGTCATGCTGGAAATCCTGCCACCATTCAGATTCTATCTGGAATCCACTTTACCTGTCTAGTAAATTAACCAGTTGTATGTAAAGCTATTTACATACAGCTATGGGAATTTACTTTTAATTTTAATAAGGACTTTGGCAGCCTTTCTAGAAGGACCTTTAAAGATCACTTAGGAGGCAGAGCAAATTAGATTCCACTAAACAGATTTCGGGATTCTCTGAATATGAATCTTGCACCTGCCTTTGTTGTCTAAGATTGATGAAGAAAGACAAGAGGGACAGGTATTGCATATCTTCTCTGAGATTGGCAATGGCAAGGGCAAAGGCAGTTTGATAATTCTATGCCAGATTGCAATTTATATGTTGAAATGCTATTGCTTTTATTATGAATTAATTTAATTTCCTAGTGCCAGAGGGCCCTAAAAGAAAACTGCACAGGGAGAAGTATAGGGCCTATAAATGTAAATATTAAAAAGTGGTGGAATCTCTAGGCTGAAAATAGTATTATGTTAGGGTCTCATCCCAGTGTTTCTTTCAGGTGATTTTCCACATTTAAGGGATTACTTTTTTGGTTATGTTTTGTACTTTTATGTATTTTATAAATGTTTTCATGTGAGGTATACTTCCAGTGGTGCTTTTATCACTATTTCTGTTAAATATAAAATAGAAGTAGAGGGCCTACTATAGCTGACCCCTTCTAAGAGCTGTAATTGCCTGGCTTTAACAGTTGAAGTGACTCACCCAACACAAGCATGCAGATTTAAAACTCAGAGTCTGAACTCCTAATCTGCATCCTTCTTCTAGGTCTCTGCTTCTGAAGGCATAAAAAAGCTATTGGTTCAGCATGACAGACAGGCAACTAGCTTTTTCAGAAAAAACATACAAAAATGACAGCCTCCATAGTGTCTCAGTAGAGGTGTCCTTTATTATGATTTTACAGTGTTACTCGGCTATTTATACTTGCAGGCCAGTCTGTGTTTTTCAGTAATAAACTGATTTGATTAAAAAGAGACATTTATCTTGTTATTTCAGCTCAGAAATCGCATTGCAATAAATCTTGTTAGACTTAGAACTCCAATTTCTTTGTTTCAGAAATGTTGAAATCTAATGATTCCCACAGGAGAGAAATGGCAGCCAGATGCTTGGAGGTTCTTTGCCTCCTGAAAGAAGAGTTTTGGAAGGACATTTATGAAGCAGGTCTGATTTTTAGTTAATCATTTCTACAATATTTTACAGCCTTTCAACTGCTAATGAATAGACACTCCGTTTGCCTGTTTTTGCTTTATTATAACAATACATTGAATAAAGAGTCATACCATGCTATTTTTCTACATTCAGCTTTTCTCTTCTGTACAATTGTCCTTTAATTAGGGATGTACCAATACCGTTTTTTTCGGTATCGAGTACAAGTACCAATATTATTCTTTCGGTACTCGCTGCTACCGAGTACCTGTACTTCTGCCAGTATGGAGCCAGCTTCCCGGCCAATCCGGAAGCTGGACCCAATCAGGAAGCTACTCACCCAAAAACTCGGTATCGCCACCGATACTGATACTAGTATTGGTGCATCCCTACCTTTAATAAATCCCGCCCACCCACTAGGACAAACACTTACCTTTAGCCCTTATTTAGTCTTCTTCACTGTGCCACTCTGCTCATATCACTGTGCTCTAGCCAACAGCAACCAATCACTAACTACCCTTCATTATTGTTCAACAGTCATGGTGCTGTAGTTATTGGCAGCTACTGATTACCAACCATCAGTGTACAGTTGTATATCAGTATGCAGTAACCTCTTAACAGTACTACAGTCCCTTTGCTGTGCTGCCTCCTTCAGTGTTAAGCAGTTACAGTTTTCTGATGGAACTCATAGCAGCCAATTACTTATGTCGCCATCACTGTGCTATAACCCATAGCAATCACTAATGACCTGCTATCAGTATGCAGTATTTAAATCTGTTTACTGTTGCCTATGGCAATCAAAAACTAGTCACCCATCAGTGTCCAGCAGTCATATCATTGATTGATGGTTGTAGTCTTAGGCTGGGTTCACACCAGCCTGATACCACCCTAATAAACAGTACTTGGTGATCCTGCTACAAAGGCCATTGTTCAGGCACTTCCTGTTATGGAGTGACAACTGTCTCCCAATTCCTGCATTGAAAAGAAAAAAGTGTGGACACTGGCACTCCAAATAGTGTCTACCCTTTATTTTCTCTGCATATTGACGGTTGTCATCTGTCGACTACCGTTGCCCCCACCTAGTCTACATGGAGAAAGCGGTCAGGAGTGCCATGGGTTTATGGACTGTTATTCAATTCCTGCATTGTCAGCCTGTCACATGCGCTCTGGCTGAGACTACAAATGCAGGCATGGTTCACAGTTGTCACTATCAGGAGCTCGACCCAGAGGAATGATGTACATCCAATGCTAGAGTGAATGCGTGTAGACAGGAAGTGACTGATCAGCAGCACTGAGATGCTAAAAAAGTAAACAAAGTATTTTATAAAAAATGGCAATTGTTTAGTATATACAACACTTTATCATATAAAATGTCCTCCAGTTTTAGTTTTTTAATTCAATACGTTTTTATTGGTATAGAAAGGTACAGCAAAAGCGTCCATTACAAATGGTGGACTGGTAATCGCATAGAGATAACAGCAATGAGTAGCAAGTAGGAAGTACACTGGATAGCATTAGTAATCGGCAATCACAATCCACCATTGCATAGGTGTGTGTGCCAGTCTAACTAGGAAGACTGGATATAACCAGAGGTAGGACAAGATTAAGTAGAAGGAAAGAAAGGGGAAAATGAAAAGAGAGAGTCAGAAGGAGACATAGTAAGGCCGGAGGGAGGAGAGAAAGAAGGGGAGGAGGTAAAGGTACCTGGGGGGAGTGTGCACACCCAGGTATGGTTTTTATCTACTTCAAGGCTTCTAGATTTATACTATAAAATACTACCATTTGTGTTCACCTTATTGCTCCTGCAAATAGTTTTTGTTACTATTGTACAATAAATCTGCATTTGCTAAAAAGACTGCTTATGTCTTATTTCTAGGAACATTTCCTTGCCTTGTCAACCTATTAAAAAGTAAGCAAGTGAATCTGGAATGTGTAGCTGCAGGAACTTTAAGCAATACCTCAAATAAGGTTCCTGTCGCAAAGTGTCTAGTGGAAGCAGAAGCCATACCAATACTTATCACACTGCTGCACTCCAAACATCCTGAGCTTCAGTCCCGATGTTCGGTGATTTTATATGACATTGCCCAGGTGGATGGCAATCAAGACAGCATTGCACAAATGGTAAGCATTTAGGGGATAAAGATTATAAAATTAAAGTGACAAAGGATCCCAGTTCCCAAGAAGAAGAGTCACACTGAGGAGGCACCAATATGAATGATTTGTATTGGTATTAGAAGATAATTTAGATCTTTGCAGTGACAAGACCATTTGAAGGCATAACAAAAACAAAACAAAAAGGCAATGGCAATATTACCTAGTGATTCTTACAGGCTGACAAATATTGTGAAAGGCTGTCAGTCTATTTGAGCTAACCGATGAACAAATGCACTTTGCTTTATTTTCTAAAGTCAGTAAAGTAGATTTGGCTTTTGACACACATACTACAGTGAACATCATGTTAATGTTGTTTGTAATTTTGTGGGTACACAAATTTAAAATCTAAGAACATCAATATTTTAGGTGTCAACTACTAACTATCTTCTTTTTTTTTAAATACATTTTATCAGGCAGTGTACATAAACATCTGACAGGCATTGCCCTATGAGTTATATTTATATGCATTGTGCAGGGCAATTCATCCTGGGAATATCTGCGCATGCTCGCTCTGCGCAAATATATACTAAATGAACGTTCTTCCGTTATTTTCTTTACAAGAGCAATACATAGGGGAAATCTAGATTTTCAGATCCCTGGTCCAAGAAACTTGTGGCATGAGAGACACACATATTTTTTACTATACACAGTGGGATGAACAAACAAACAATTTATAGAAATCTACACTGATTGTATTTATTATATCTCCTAACACACTGTGGTTTAGAAGAATTTTTATAAAGTATTCTTGAATGTTACAGAAAACTACATTTCTTTTTAAAAGTTCTGGGTAGAGTAGGGAAGTGTTAAAAAACCCTCTGAGTTTATTTTTGCCTGTTTGCTTCTCATTGGGGAGATTTTCTTTACTTTCTCTCTATAGCATTCTCTTTATAGCACTTTCTATCTTACTAACAATGGCCACCAGGAGAAATAAAGAGGGTTAAAGCTGAACTCTAGGCAGGTATAAAAGACACAATATAACACAGCTCTTTGATCATTCAGGTACAGTGGAAGTACCTGAATTTGACCTGGAGGGCTGGAGTGAGAGGAAGAAGCAATACTAGAAGCCAGTCAATTCATGTGCTGGCAACAAGCATGCTGATAGGAAGAGAAAGCAAAGTGACAGAGAGATGAGTTCATCACAGTGCTGCTCCTCCTTTTCCTGTCTAGTTACAAGCTGGGCTTAGTAGATTGATCGATGCTGGCCATCAGAATGAAAAAAAACTTTAGTGGAAATCTCTGGATTGAAGATGAATATTGAAACAAAAGCTGGTTTTGTTATTTTGTCTTGTAATGTAATCTTTTTATTTTTGGCTGCAGTTTTGCTGTAATCCGCAATAGGGACACGGACAGCAATAAAAACCTGACAGGGGTTCCAATCTTTTATCACACTCTATCCAAACTAGAAAAATACTATTTTGACTATGCATACGCTTTATGGAAGACATCAGATATTAATATCATCCAACCAAAAAAGGTTATTTCTAAATGTATGGATATAGCATTGTAATATGGAACCAACATAAAACACAGGTTTCCGTGGTAGATTCCTTGTACTTTAGAAACAGCAGTTTGAAATAAATACTAGTTAAAATTGATCTATGTACATACAGATAATCTAAATTTACATTTCCAGTGGATTATTTACCAAGCATACATTCCATACCATGCTTACTATGTAATCTTTCTGGTCTCTAAAAAAATGTATAAATAAGATTTTTTACAATGATTATATTTTCTTTTTAAATATGTTTTAGAATGGAGTTGCACCTTTGGTTAAACTGCTGCGTAAAGATTTTGAAGATGTATTGGTAAATGCTATTAACTGCGTCCAAGTTTTATGCATTAATAACCCAGCCAATCAGAAGGCTGTCAAAGATCTAGGAGGCATTCCACTACTTGTGGACTTTCTATCCATTAACTCTGGTAAGTAAGCCTTACATTTAGTGAGGAATGAGACCTAACACTCCGTGTTTGCATAGGATGTAAAAACAAAAACAGAAAACAGTGGCATTGGGCTTTGGATCCATTTACTTCTTTACTGAACATGTTAAATCACACCATTATGATAATCCACCCTAAATTGTGCTAGTACTAGGCTGACCATATTTCCTTGAGCCAAAAACAGGACCTCGGGATGGCAAAAATTGAACAATCTAGATTGTATTGTTTGCATATAATCTTATTCCTCCGGAGTCTGTTGATTTCATACGTGTAGGTCTAAGTATATTGTAATGTCACATATAGAGTGATATTCAATACACTGCCACCGTTAATATATATAGAGTTAATGTATGTGAATTGGCCTACTTTGGAAATATTACATGCATACATCACCCTTGCATTCTTTCTACACCTTTCCCCCTTCCTATACTGCCTCATATCCTTCCATTGGGTCAGTCTGAGGAGCAGAGAACTATGCCATTAACCTTGAGATTTCTTAACACTCTGGAGCACTACCCTGGTGAGATAAAAGCTCTGTTATTGATCATATAAAATGGCTGCCTGAAGGTTATTCTTCCTCCACTGCAGCACTGACTTGGAGGAAGTTGCGTATGGGTGTAAAGATACTAGCAGTAGGAACAATCAGGTATCCATTGTCTGCAATAGTTTATCATTCCCAGGAAGGTGAGCAACTCTTTCTGTGTGACAGGTTTGGGAAGGTGGCTGATAGCATTGACTCTCTGTGGGATGAGTGATCTCTGTCCTTTTCTCAAAACAAATCCCAAAATATTCAACTTGTTGTTGACAAAGTTGTAGCTTTGTCTTTGCTACTTTATGTCCCTCATTGGCAACGTACTTGAGCAACGACACAGTGTCTTTATAGCAAGCCTCCTGATTGGGACTAGACAACAGTAGGTCATCGACATACTGAAGGAGGACTGAACCATGTTCTGCATTCCATTGTCTCAGAGTTTGATGGAGCACCAGCGAATATACTGCCGGTGAGTCCACATAGCCCTGGGGGAGGCGAGTCCAGGTATACTGTACCCCCTCAAAAGTGAAAGCCATAAGTAGTTGTGTCTGTGGGTCAACTGGGACCGAGAAAAAAGCATTACTTAAATCAATCACTGTAAAATGAGAAGCATCTGATGGTATGGCTGTAATTAAAGCGGCAACATCTAGCACAATCTGTGCTATGGGTATCACTAAACTATTTATAGCTCTGAGATCTTGTACAAATCTGAATTCTCCACTAGCTTTGGGGACAGGATTAATGGGTGTATTGTAGGGAGAAACAACAAGTTTCAAGACACCTTGTTCCATGAAACTTTGTATTAAAGGTCTGATCCCCTCCTTATTGTTTAATAAACACCGGGGATCCTCCCTCTTTCAATCGTGCTTGGTACGGGGTACAGCTAATTAATCCCACATCAGTTTTAGAATTTGCCCAGACACTATCAGGGACACTTGATCATAAGGGATGATAGGGACAATGTCGCTATCCGTGGTCATTCCTCCAGCCGGAATAAATGCTATGGTGGCATGTAATTTTCCCAGCAAATCTCTACCAAGAAGATTTACCGGACAACCCGGTATTAGGCAGAAACTGTGCAGGCAGATAACCTCCTGACCCTCATAACTGTCGGGATCAGGATGTAGCCTCTGCACAGTTAACGGTGGTGTTTTCTGTGTATGTACTAGAACCCCTGTTATTCCCATAGAGAGTGATGAAGGTTCTGTGTGGCCCTTATAGTACCAAGTGCATAAAGAAGATTTAGTAGCTCTTGTATCCACCAGAAAGGACAAAACCTTCCCATCCACACGCAGCATACAAAAAGGTTGACCTGCAGAGCGCGACGTGAGGAGGGGAAATGCGTGGCCACTGACACTCCCCGGGCATCCCTAGATCCAAGATATGTGATGTCGGGGACCGGGGTTTGTAGGACCTTGATTATGGGTTTGTTGTGGGGTATTGTAACTATTCACATTACCCGGGGGCAAGGGGTTGTCCACTCTCAGGGGTTGGGGGACACTCGTTTCTCCAATGTCCCTCTTGTCCACAATTAAAACATCTAGTTCTACGTGTGTTATTTCCCCCAAACTGACCCCTACCTCTTCCTCGGCCTCTGTATGACCGTGGAAACTGTCTCATGTCACCTCCAGGGTCTTGCATCTCTCGGATCGCAGTGTTCACCCCCCTTACTTTCTTTATCTCAAAACATCCTGCAGCTTCTCTTTCATAAATTTTCTTCAGAAATTCCTCTGCTCCCAAACCTGGCCATTCAGAGACCAACTGTTTGACAAGCAGTGAAAACTCAGGAGACATATTATTAATGCAAGTCTGAACCTTCAAGGGGGCCATTGTCCCCATGGAGATCAAGCCTGCCTCATGTTTCCATACTTTAAAAAATCTTTTAACATACTGAGTGACAGTTTCCTTCGGTTGTTGTTTACAGGCCAGGGCTACGGAGAGTGTTTGTTTTGGTAGGTCCTTTCCTACCTTAAACATTTCCTCGCTCACTTCTTTCCACATAGCCTCCCTCCCCTCAGGTTGATAATTGGTAGACCTTTGGTGTACCTGTAATAAACGCAGCTAATTGAGCTCCCACCAACCCAGGTGCAGGAGGGTCACTAGTGCTAACAGTTCCTGGATCAGGAATGTTAATAGAAGGAGCGTTCTCCCACTTCCACCCTGATTCTTCATCAAAACCCATAATCCCATCAATTATTAGTTTAACATCAGTTTGTGTGAAGTTCTGTCCTTCTGACATTCTTTTTAAGTACAGCAGGCATGCTGACGGGGAAGTTCTAGGGCTAGGGGCACCTTTTATCAAGTCTCTCAAGTCTCCTGCTTTCATTGGCATCATTACCAATTGATTACCTATTGTCAAAAAGGGATAACCTTCTTCAATAACCTGCAGGTTCTTCTGTCTACCAAAAGGGTGATTATCATGAGTCCTTAACCGGTAAGGGTTGACCTCACTTTCTTTGTTCCCCACCTCGGGGTGTTCACGGGTAGAAGATTTTCTCGGGGGAGTACTAATTTCCTGCAAATGTTGTAATCCCTGTGCCAGATTACCTAGTTGCCTTATGAGCTCCTGAGGTATATTGGACATTGACCTTTCTGGTGACAATACTGGCATCTCTCTTTCTTTCACATCGTCCTCTAGAGGGGTTTGTGAGATCCCTCCTGTAGCGCTTTTCCTGTAGTGCTTTTCACTCACCTCATAGTTCTAGCCGACCTGTGACAATGAGACTGTCACAGGTCGGCTCAGTAGATCGGGAAGTGAGCGAACATATACCAGGGTTCCCTCACCTCTCGATCCTGTCACGGCTCTCTGCCGTGACAGGGGAGGGGCTGGATTCCCCCCTCCCCGCTCCGATCCGCCAGCGCTGACTGGCGGAACGGACGGGGGAGGGGGCGGGTACAGCTGGCTCTGCCTCTAGATAGGCAGAGCCAGCTGTCACTCACGCAGCTGGGCGGATCTCGACATCGATGTCGGGATCCGCTCCGGCTGCGGCGTCTCAGTATACCGCGAGCTACAGCGGTATACTGAGCTTAGGGTAACGGGAGGATGCTAGTTTGTGTCCTCCCGTTACCCTAAGGAGAACTATGGGGAAAAGCCCTGACCCCATAGTTCTCCTTTAATGAGACCAGCTGGCCGCATGGATGTAGAAGTTAAGGCCGGCTGTAGTTGCAGTCGTATTAACATTTATATCAATGCGGCCGGCCGGACTCATTAAGGAGGCGCACATACTCGGAGCGCACTCCTAAGAAGGAAAATGGGACAAAACTGATTTTTAACAGTCCTGTCCCGTTTAAAACAGGACATATGGTCAGCATACCTAGTACCCAAATACAGAAAAATTGGTGCTTTATAAGAGACAATTTCTTGATTTAATAAATGTTAACTGAAAAACAAACCATTTCCCATTCCGTGTACATATCCTACTTATATGTTTTATCTTTTCTGTTTCTTTAAAGACGTGCTGTTAAATGCATCTTCAGCTGCTATTGCAGAACTTGCTCGAGGAAACAAACAGCTCCAGGATGCTATTGCAAAGGAGAATGCAATTACCTCTCTTATTGATATAATTAGACTGAAGAAACTCGGTAACCAAGTGAAAGCTGCCATGGCTATAGAAGCTCTTGCTGATCATAATACTGCCATCCAAAAAGAGTTTTTGGATAGATCAACATCAAGACACATATCAAAGCTCCTCAAAGTAAGAATCTTTAACACTGGCTATCATTTTTTAAATTGTTAACTAAAAGGTATAACTAAAAACTTTTATCAGGCTCCACTCGGATCAAAAATTGTTCCAAATTAAACCAAAGCATCAAATCAGGGTTTCTCAGATTTGGTCTCGCAGCTGCCCACACAACTCTTTCTAGATACTGGAAATCTACTGAAACTCCACCAGTATGCACCTGGGTGGCTCTTATAAATGAATTGAGAGAGTTTGATGGCAGGTGACAACAATCGTATGGACCCATATGTACAAGTGTGGTCAGGCTGAATTCTGTTTAGCTCTTCCACTACATTTCAAAGGCTGCCGGCTCCCTAAGTAATTTTAGACTCATTTTCTGAACACAGACACTTCACCCTTTACTCCCTCTCTTTATCAAATGTAATTTGTTCTTCTTAACAGGATACCGTTTGATTCATCTTACTGCCTTGACCCCTCTGGCATCCTTTGTAATCTATGATTTGTAAATTATGCTGAGTTCAAGTATAGCTGGATTCTCCAGCTATAGGGCAGTACTCCCCTCCCTTCTCCATCCCCACTCTATAATTCCCACCAGTTCTCTCTTAATGGTATTTTGCCACATTGATTCATGTTCTGCCTGGTTAATCATGCACCTGAATTCATTTTGTATACTTAATACAAGAGTCTGGTGATGTTCGTATACAGTACCTAGTTTACTGTAATCTCATTATAAGCATTGCAGAATCCCTATGAGAGATCTGTATTTATTCAAATCTTAATAAATATATTTTTAACCTAAAAAAAAGGTTATCGGCATGTGTGTTTTCTCTTTGTTTAGGTTTTTCATCTAGAGGTTAGAGAACAAGGCTGCACGACACTTTGGGCACTGGCTGGTCAGACACGGAAACAGCAGAAGACAATGGCAGAGCAGATTGGCTATAACTATATCATTGACATGCTCATATCACCTTCTGACAAGATGCAGTATGTTGGTAAGCTTTCTGCATTCCAACTAAAGACTCTGATTTACTAAGGGGCTACATCATGTTTACTTTCAAAGTGAGATTTCACTTAGTGAATAAGGTCAAATAAAGTGAAAATTCACTATACCCAATCATGTGCAAGAAAAAGAAAAGGATTTTTGTTTGCACATTATTGAATGATTGAAGTCAGCATATATGTCAAAAATAAATCAAGGCAACAGGACTTGCTGTATTTTTCTTGAAGATGGTTTGCTGGTCATGCGACTATAGTTCTCAATTCAGAATTGAGTAAGCTAGTTGGATGACCAGTGAAACGTCTTCAAGAAAAATACAGCAAGTCCAGTTGCTTTGATTTATTTTTTACAGATTTACCATGATCTGGATGAATGAGAACCTTCACAGATACATTGAAGTCAGCACCACTTCATCTCATTCACTAAGAAACGAACATGCTCTACTCTTTTAGTATATCAACCCCATAATGCTCAAATGGCCACTATGAAGATAGAATATTGGTAATACATCAAATTATAGAGTTACTCCACTTTTGAAAACAAATCCTATCCCAATCTTGATTGAATAGTAATAATAATAATAATAGTTAATGTAGATCTAAACCCTGACTGGACAACGTCAGAAACTTGTTTTCACCTTTTGGTTATCCTGTTTTGAATATCAGTGCTGTAGATCTCCCCAGTCAGGTTCAGCCATTTCCTTTTTACATGCATTGACATCAGCATTGGCTGCATAACATTTCTCAGGACCGGCCTTCTGGCAATGGTGGATGATACCTGTGCAATGTGTTTTGGCATGACCTCTTGTCTCCATCAGGAGCAAACGTGGCAGGGAGACAACAAAGGAGAACAATTGATTGACAGTTTTCACTCTGTAACAGGAAGTGTCTGAATGAGGACCTTTATGACAGGATCATGAGGCATTATTTTAATTACAGCTGTGGATATAAAAAGACAACTTCTTGAATTACATTAGCATGTTAAAGCTTATATGATATTTTAGTGATTGAGTTTAAATCTACTATTAGAAGATCTTACTAAAGCAGCGATTAACATCCCAGAAGAGAAAAGAATACAATATCAAGTATATCACAGAAGTGAGTATACCCCTCACATTTTTGTAAATATTTTATTATATCATTTCATGTGACGACACAGAAGAAATGACACTTTGCTACAATGTAAAGTAGTGAGTGTACAGCTTGTCTATCAGTGTACATTTGCTGTCCCCTCAAAATAACTCAACACACAGCCATTAATGTCTAAACCGCTGGCAACAAAAGTGAGTACACCCCTAAGTGAAAATGTCCAAATTAGGCCCATATTTTATGTGGCCACCATTATTTTTCAGCACTGCCTTAACCCTCTTGGGCATGGAGTTCACCAGAGCTTCACAGGTTGCCACTGGAGTACTCTTCCACTCCTGCATGACAACATCACGGAGCTGGTGGATGTTAGAGACCTTGCGCTCCTCCACCTTCCATTTGAGGATGCCCCACAAATGCTTAATAGGGTTTAGGTCTGGAGACATGCTTGGCTAGTCCATCACCTTTACCCTCAGCTTCTTTAGCAAGGCAGTGGTCGTCTTGGAGATGTGTTTGGGGTCGTTATCATGTTGGAATACTGCCCTGCGGCCCAGTCTCCAAAGGGAGGGGATCATACTCTGCTCATCCTCAATGAACTGTAGCTCCCCAGTGCCGGCAGCGCTCATGCAGCCCCAGACCATGACACTCCCACCACCATGCTTGACTGTAGGCAAGAAACACCTGTCTTTGTACTCCTCACCTGGTTGCCGCCACACACGCTTGACACCATCTGAACCAAATAAGTTAATCTTGGTCTCATCAAACCACAGGACATGGTTCTAGTAATCCATGTCCTTAGTCTGCTTGTCTTCAGCAAACTGTCTGCGGGCTTTCTTGTGCATCATCTCTAGAAGAGGCTTCTTTCTGGGACGACCAATTTGATGCAGTGTGCGGCGTATGGTCTGAGCACTGACAGGCTGACCCCCCACCCCTTCAACCTCTGCAGCAATGCTAGCAGCGCTCATACGTCTATTTCCCAAAGACAACCTCTGGCTGTGACGCTGAGCACGTGCACTCAACTTCTTTGGTCGACCATGGCGAGGCCTGTTCTGAGTGGAACAGCAAAAAGTTTCCCGGCACACTCACCAGCCAGCATGCAAAAAAAACCTGTCTAACCACTATGGTTAAAAGCAGAGGTTTGGAGACACGTCATCTGCAGAAAATGTGAAAGCCACACAGCCACGTCAAGGCACCTCTATATAGTGCGGCCCTAACTCTAAACTATGAAAGTCTCCATCTTGGAGCACATGGGGCAGAAGATTAAATTGGGTGCAGGTTTGTCAGGAGGAAGCCCAATATAAATATTTACAAAAATGTGAGGGGTGTACTCACTTCTGTGAGATACTGTAGCCCTCTTTGTCAGTTCATGGTTCACTTCACCATTCAATGTTATTGAATATTATCATAAGTAATGTATAGTGTTTTTGTATATATTGTCTGTATTTATCTGTTACTTTTAGTAGTATGAAATACATAGAGAAATATGGAATACTTTATATTAATATTTTATATTTTTATCTTTCCAACAAGCAGACTTTGCTCTAGGCTCCTTTTCCAGGATGCTTTACCAAATATTTTACCATATGCCTGTTGTATAAAGAGCAAAGTTAAAGCTCAAATTACACAAGCAGCTGAATAAGTCAGGGAAGGGATTCATCTCCCTTTCTTCTTCCTTTCTAGGGCTGCAGACATACTTTCAATTATAAAGAGACAGCCTGAAAAGAACATGCGCCGTGCTTTGCTCTCCTTAAAAAAAAGTTCTCTGCAAAGATTTTTGGTCATGAGTACACCCTGTATTAAATGTTTATTTGTAAATTAGATTTATGAATAGTAAAAAAAAATTTAGAAAACATCTGTTTACTTGAAATTAAATTGATAAAAACCATTAAATCTTTCCCTTAACGGGTAACTCCAGGTAGTAAGTAAAATTAAATAATGTAATGTTAATACTTTACAGGAAACATTGCCACTACTTTAAAGTCAGTAAGTCCACTCCATTTACCTAAATCCTATGTAATTCCAGCAACTCATTGAACTGCTACTAGAATTGATATGTTAGCATCCATACAAGATGGGGACGGACATTGCTTGACTGATATGTTCAAAAAACACCAAAATGTTTATTATAACTAAAATAAAAAGTAATTCATCATTATTATTCTTTTTGCTTAATGTGTATTAAATGACAGTCCCTTGTTAACAAATTCCAGTATCTTCAAAAAGTTATGGATGTTCCTTGTAAACATTTTAAAGTCAATAAACAGATTAATACCAACATATATACTTGTTTGTGTAAATAGTTCCTGACGTGTGATAACCATTTTATTTGCCAGAACTTACATTTGAACCTTTAAATATTTAAGCTAGTAAAAGTTACATATGTAATGTATTGGGGCATTAAAAGAATGTCATTAGCCATTGCCTGGCTTAGTCCTGTGTACATTTTGGCTTTAAATGATACAAATTGTTACTTTGCATCTACAGGTGGTCAAGCAATTATAGCTCTGTGTAAGGATAGCAAGCATCACCAGGACCAAATATGTGAAGGTAATGGTATTGGTCCTTTGGTGCGACTGTTACGAAACCCCAAAGTGGCAGACGGAACACTTCTGAGCATTGTGAAAGCGTTGGGGACAATGTGTATTGGTATGTTGTTTCCTTTTTTTTGCATTATATATTTGTTATACACCTCCAGTAATGTGTTTTAGAGCATATGCAGTGCACTTATTCTTTCCTTTCACCCCTTAATCACTTGAGAATTTAAATGGAACAAGGCCCCATACCGTACCATATGATATTAAAGCAGACCTTGCACTAAAAGGCAAAGGCCACTTTTTACATCAGCCCAAATAGAAGTAATAACTATAGGATAAAAACAGCACTGGATTTACATCTCATGAGGCTATAGGTGCAAACAAATTCACTCACATCATCATATACTGTACCTCCTGTTATACTGCTAAAAACACAAAGAGGGGAATTTATCAAAACTGGAGCAAACTAAATCTGGAGCAACTGTGCATGGCAACCAATCAACTTCACTCTTCAGTTTGTTTAGTTAACATTTGAAAATGAAACAGAGAAGCTGATTGGGCGCCATGCACAGTTGCTGCAGATTTTGTCTGCTCCAGTTTTGATAAATTCCCCTCAAAGTGTTTAGCATATTTCATTCTGAAATGTGCTATACACGTGTAGTGATATACAGCAGATTATGTACGTACTGTGTATATATAGGAATTTGATGCATTGCTTGGTATAATATAGGGGATACTCTGAATAGGAGATCATGTATGTGTTTATACTATGACAATCAAACCTTAATAGCAATAGCCTGCTATATGCTGAGTTTACATTAGTAAATGCCCTTCTGTGACCCTAAAGGTTTGTCCATAGTTCTCTTTAAGAAGCTTAAATGGAGTATTCAAGCTAGATTATTAAATACAACATTCACATGGACATAATAAATGGTAATAAATGTGCCATACAACTTTTGATCATATGTCAGCTGATTTGGAACACACAGCTGTTCTGAGGAGATGTTAGGTAATGCTTCTTGCATTCATTAAAGACAAAGAACATTACACTTTGCTTTCTTTTCAAACAGGTGTAGCTCTTATAAATAATCCACTTACTCAGGAGAAGATAGTGGAAGAACAAGCACTTCCAACTCTCGTTCATCTTCTGAAAACTCACAGTTCTCTGAAAATTAAGGTAGTCCAATAGTCCCAGCAATAAATATCTCAGGCAACAAGTTTGCTTTTCCTTTTTTATTTTCGTATAGCTGGAATGCACTTTGCATTTTTTATATAGGCCAAAAACAAAATGCAAGGCAAAAAATAACAAAAACAGAACCTTCTCCTTGACCTCTAACCTTAAATCGATCCTTAAGGTGGCCATACACTTTACAACCATCGCAAGACCTTAGTCTTGCGATGGTTGTAAAGTAATTAAAAAAACGTACGATCTGCCCATCTTGGACAGGCAGATCGTACTTGCGATCATCGCAAGCCCGCCCCCCTGAGGGGCGGGCTTCCGATCACTGCAACGCTGAACGGGCAGTGTGCGCGTGCGGAAACCGGCCCGTTCAGCATTTGTCTCCCGAGCACCGTTCAAACCAGCCGAAAATCGTAAGATTTTCGGCTGGTTTTCTAGCATGCTCCTTAGACAAAAGACGTGCGACCGTACAGTAGAAACGGTCGCACGTCTTCATTCACACTGCACGATTCTCGTACGATTGCGGGATTTCTCGCGATTCTCGTACGAGAATCGTGCAGTGTATGGGCACCTTAAGACTACCACCTTAGCCCAGCATCTAATGGCTCAGGTGATGTCAATTTGGCTGACTGCTAACACCGGGGAGAGCTGAGCTTCCCACATCTCGCAAGAGATTTTGAGTGCCCAGCTCTCTCAGGAGGCACAGTGACATCATCCATGCTTCCAGTAGCATTGGGCAAAGTAAATGTTTTTCTGGTACAAACTTTATTTGTCAATGGTTTTTTAAGTCATCAGTATTGGGGGGTGAGGAAAGGAGACCTTCCCTTTTCATGGAAGGTCCCCTTTTTATGTTAATCTAACTCTGAAAAAAATGGCAACACCTTATGTCATGGATTGGGACTCACTGGTATGAACTGGAGTCCGGTATGTGGACCCTTTCCACCAGGGCCGTCTTTAACGCGGGGAAAAGGGGCAATTGCTGTGGGGCCCAAAGCAGCTGCCCCTTGAGCCCGCAGAAACTTGCCGATCGCATAGTAAAATACGTTATGGCATAGGGCACTGCCATAACGTATTTTTCTATGTGATCGGCACCATCGCATAGCACAGTCTGTACTACATTTCCGTGTGGCTCCTCCCCTTTCCGCATAGCGTGACATGATAGGTCTCACGCAAGCTCACAGATGGAGGTCCCGTGGTGATATCACCGCTTTTTCCGGCTGCCTCACACACGTCTATGAGTGTCAGACGTGACATCCGGAAAGCTCTGATTGAGGCAGAGACTGGCACAAGACTGAGGAAGAGACTGGCACAAGACTGAGGCAGAGACTGGCACAAGGTGAGAGCTGGGCACTTTGTGGCATTGGCAGGCCAGGCAGTAATAATTAAATAATTACCCTGTTTGGGCAAGGCCATAAAAATATATAAAATAAATAAATTGGTTTAGTAGTATTAATATAGATTTCATTTTTCTGTTTATTATGGGTGTGTATTAAGAATAATAAATATAAATAAATGCTCTGGAAGGAAATAAAATAAATTGGTTTAGTAATATTAATTAATGTCATTTTTTTGAGTGTGTACATAATTATATATTTTTTATAATATTTACTTTTATTTTAAACACCTTTTAATATGCATTGTCTTGCTGTGTAGCTCTTTTTTTGGGGGGGGATTTTGGGGAGGTGAGAGAAATTTTGTTCCCCTGGGGTGGAGGGCGGAGAAAAAGTTTGCCCAGGGTCCAATCAGTATTAAAGACGGCCCTGCTTTCCACTACACTGGCCGGGACACTCAGAGAAAAGGGTCCAAGCAGTGTAGGCTGACGACTCCCAGAGCTGGAGTACAAGCAGGGGAACTGAATGAGGCAGTGGAAGTCAGCTAAAGCTGGAAGTTCAAATACAAGGCAGGGTGCTCCAATGCGGAGTAGGTGGCATGGGATCCTGAGTAGGTGGCATGGGGTCCCCCAGGATGTGGAATCTAAGGGCCAGCCGGTATTCGCCGGAGCTCCTGATAGTGGAGATGGGCTTGGCTGCATGCTGACCCCAGGTCACAATCCCTAGGTCCACCCAACTCACCTAACAGGTACAGGGTACCAATCAAAGGTTAGGGACAGGCTGAAGACTTACAGGGACCAAGCGAAGTACAGCGTAGACTGTAGACAGGGATTTCCAAGGACAAAAGGGAAGCACAGGTCAGCCTGTAGACAGGGATATCCAAGGACAAAAGGGAAGCACAGGGCAGACTGTAGTCAGGGATTTCCTAGGACAAAAGGAAAGCACAGGGCAGCCGGTAGACAGGGATTTCCAAGGACAAGCCAAAGGTTCGGTACACGGGAAAACTTCCAGGAATTCAGGGTAAATCACAAATGGTGGACTCGGCAACTAGCTTAGGAAAGCGTTGCTTGGGCAGCGTGCCGTTCGCTGTCCTGGGTTTAAATAGCGACAGGAAGAGGGAGGATCCACAGGATTGGCCACAAGCGGACTGCACTGATTGGCCGAGAAGCTGCATAAGAAACAGCAGGAGAGGTCGGCTGACGCCTAAAGCTTGCAGACAGGTGCAAGTGTGAGTCAGGTTCAGAGCACATGCCTGGAGGACTACAACCCCCAGCACAGCCCTGCATGCCTGCAGAACCAGGGGTACGAGATATGTATATACTTGAACTACAAGTAACAGCTCAGCTGCAAGTCTGCACCTGAACTGTGACACCTTAACCCTAAAACATGAACAATGTAAACTATTATTTCTTTCAGATGTGTGGTTTCAGATGTATTTGACAAACAATCATCTAGTCAATACAGATCCTAACTCATCATGGATTATATTTTGTCATTTTTCAACAAAAATAAGCCAACATGAAGAAAGATTGGGTATATGTGGGAAGTAAACGCACTCCTTACTGCAGTAGGCTGCAGAGCCATGCGGTCAGGGAAGGCAGGTGAAACAGAGCCTCACCTAGTATTATGGAGGAAAAAGCTGTCAGCTTCTCCATTCAGAGCGGCTTGTATCAGGTTACACAGCAGGGAAAGCCTCCCCGCTGTGTAACCTGTCATGGACGGAGCGCTGCCTGTTAATTACCGGCGGCGCTGCATTCGGCTTTTGACAGCTGGTTAGGTTACACAGTAGCGGGCTTCCCCACTGCCTCTACTCTGTGTTGGAGGCTAGAGCTCTGTGGATGGTTTGGACCAATTGCAAAGCACCATTGGTCCAAGCTGTCCAATCAAAAAATAGAAAAAAACCCCACTGAGGACATCGATCTCGATGCCTCAGCAGTGACAAGCAAGTAAGGGACAGGGGGGCACCTCCCTGTCTCCTCCCTTCTCTCCCCCTCCTCCACACATAGTTTGGTGACCAAGTTGGGGCGTCGGTGAGCTGGGGGCGTGGCGAGCTGGGGGAATGCCTCACTCAGCACGGAACGTACCGCACGTCACTGGTAGGCTGTAGAACTGCCTTCAGCAGCAATACCTTGTAATGTTCTTTTTTCTGAGTCTATAAAATCATATTGAAGTGACTTCACTACATTGCAAAATACATGTCACTAGATTATATATAATGAATGTCACTAACTCTCATCTGGATACAGGTGAACTTCCACAGACACAGGGATTTTACAGCATAGTACATATCTTCTGAACTAGAAGACTGAGCCAAAGATCGTATTATTTCAAATGACTTTTTCTGATCGGAAACGGAATACTGGTTTTGGTCATTATGTAAAGTTGTACTTCGTACTCGAGTGAATTCTCCCCTTTGGTGCATTACATGCGGACTATGTTTGGCCGAAACAGTACTGTCCAAAGCTGAGCTGTAGCTAGCTCCTTTTGCGCCCGAGGCAAGAACAGAAAATCGTGCCCCCCTCCCCCCAACAAGTGTCTGATTTCGCACACACGTGTCATATGACATCATGCGCCCCGCCTCCTGGATGGTACTCGGTACAGAGGCTTCGCATTCATTCACAAACTGGAGAAAATATTTACTATCATCCAGTTAAGAATGGATAGAAGCCTCTATAATGAGTGCTACTACCCATTCAGAAATTCATGAATGAGCAGGAAGTGATGTAAAGCACTTCCTGTTCATTCATACCTGGGGACACATAGTACTCAGAGCTGCACAGGAGAAATGAAGCACTGAAGCCGGCGGGGGGTGGAGGAGGGAGCGTTGTCACTTCAGGATGGCCAAGCAGTGAGGAGAGAGAGAGCCGCTGGCTGTCAGATCCTGGCTGAGCGTCTCTCTCTCTCTCCTGCTCTTTGGCCATCCTGACAAGCAGCTCTCTCCTCCCGCCCCCGGCATTTCTCCTCAGATCCCCCCTGCCTCTGCCCATATAAGGGGGGGGGAGCAGTGGGGATTAGAGGACAAGCTGCAGGTTGTGCCGCCCCTCTACTCCCTGTTGCCCCGAGGCAAGCTGTGATGGCGCCCGTTGCCATGGAGCCCTGTGCTCGCACACCCCAAATGCCGGCCCAGGCAGTGCCCCCTCACAGCTGCACCAGAGGCAAGTGCCTCACTCGCCTCACCATTACTACGCCTCTAGTCCAAGGGTTGGTGTTCTGGTTTAGGAAAGGCTGAGTGATGCTTTAAAGATACTAAGTGGATCATTCCCTTATGAGGACACAGGTGGATCAAATATGTTTGATGTCTTTGTACATGTACTTTGGTCTGTAGTGTCACTGCTGAACCCGGAACCATTTCTCCTTTTGGAAGGGGTTATTTGCATACATCATAGTGTAGACATTTTGGCCCACTCAGATTTACACCAGTTTCATTCTCCATTAAACATGGTAAAATATGTTGCTTGTTTTAATGACCTGAGTTTATCTTATTATGTGATTTTTGTATTTTTATGAGCAGGTTGAAGCTGCTTGTACTATAGCTTGTGTTGTTCTACAACATTCTAGCCTGCAATGTCTCTTGCATGAGAGAGAAGGATTTAAATATACTGATGTTCTTAATCTCCTCTATGAAAGTGATAAGGTACATTCTTACTCTACTATTTTGTACTTTTTATCAGAGTTTTGATTATTTTAAACTGTATCAAATGGTTTCCTGGTGTTATTACTTTGTCAGCTTCAAAAATATCATTAAACAAACACTATTTTAATATAGTTATTGTGAGATTGAGCACAAGTCATAACCGAAATATGTACAGATCATTTTCTCTGTTGGTGACATCGAAGGACATCTCTGAATATCTTTGGACATGTTAGGTCTAGCAGGCTACTCACCTATTCTGATTCCTAAACTGAACAAGCTGCCACACGTATCCATGGGGAAGCAGCAGGGGAATGTCTTTGCCATTGAGGGATGTAGTATGGCAGCATTAATTTGGCAAGGCTGCCTTTGTGAAACCCAGACATTTCTGTATACCAGCAATTCAGTTGTGCTAAAAAAATTGGCTTTTTATTAGACAAAAATCCAAATGTCCACTTCAATCATGATTATAGATTTGTTTCATAGCTTCATAGGGTTGCTCTGTAGCAAGTTAAACCAACATCAATTTTTTTAATGCAACTCTTTACTAAGAACATTTCTCTGAATTTAAAGGATTATTGGAATAACCTGTACACTTTCGAGACATTTACAGATTTTGTTCCTTTTTAAAATCTTTAGAATGCTGAAACACATGATACTACCTTTGATTTGTTTCAGGACATATGTTTACGGGCAGGCCATGCATTAGCTCTTTTTGCTTACAACAATACCCTACAGCAGTTTTGTCTTCTAGAAAATGGAGGAGTGGAAATAGCCATCTATGAACCTTTCCTTCAGTCTGAGAATGATGCAGACAAAGCATATGCTGCATTCCAGGTATAATTAGACAAGTCAAGAAGGTATCTCATTACATACATGACGAATGTTCTACTTTGGTATTGGCCCCTTTTACCTTACTACACAAGTGATAAGTCCATAAATGCTTAATGGAAAATTCAACCCTGACGTAAACATCTTCAAAATGAGATACAAGATGTATTTTTTTATGTGGAAAGGGCACATATGTATTTTTGTTTATGTGGAAAGGTGTGACATATAACCATTTCATCCAAATTATCTATAGATTGTTGTTTTGTCCAGAATTATTGTGGACATGGATCAAGTGACACTTTCTGCTCAAGGCGTGACAATACTGTCCGAGCTCTTACATGCAAAGAAGTCTGCCACGATTGTACTAGCAGGTAGGAGGCATTAATATATCATTTTTTGTTGCTCTAACTTGTATTCTGTGTATATATAGTGCACTGAGCCTAACTCCTCATGTTTTGATGAGTAATGGCCCACACCACAAGTATAACTAAAGGGAAAACATTTTTAGATTTGGAGGTAGTGTTAAGGGATTAGAGCCACGACCAGGTTTTCTTTGCTGTCCTTGTAACGGAGATTCAGACTCTCTAATTGCGCTGATCACCATTGCCTCTTGGAATTAAACTTAGAGAGCTTATCCAAAACTTTGAGTTGCCACCAGAATAGGAATAGAGAGTAAATCAGAATGCCCTTCCCCCCCAGTCCTCAACTCTATAACATAGGGAGGGTGTTCTGTAGTTAACAGAGGGGACCTGGACAGGACTGATAACACTGCACAGGACACAAAACAGCACTGGGATTTTGGCTGGATCAACAGGCATTTTCTGCACTTATTGAACAGATATAATAAAAGATTTGTAATGGTATATTTACCAGACTAAAAGGGAGCAAATAAAGAATATGTAACAATTAACTCCTCCTATGTATTATATTATTTCTGGCTAATTTTTTCTAGAAATAATACTACATCTTTTTTGTCATTTTTGTTTGTTTTTGCAGCGTTACTTTAGAAAAAGATATACACAGTAAAATGCTTTTATTTTGTTTATAACTAACTTTGCATGTTTGTATTAAAAATTTAATTGTAGTGTCATTTAATTTTCAAAACTATCACTGGCTAAACTAGAAAAGAAGCATTGTTTTGGTTTGTGTGTGTGTGTGTGTATCTAGACGATTCTTGAATTATTCTATACACTCAGCTGATACCACTGTCTGTGGAAGGGAGTTTCACAATTTTACAGCTCTCACACTAAAGAATCCCCCTCACTGTTTAGGATTAAACCTTTTCTCTTCGGCCAAAAAACCCCATTAATGCTTACCCCTTTAGCAGCCCATACATTGACAAACAGCATTTATTGACTTTTCATCTGAATATTCTGTGGTGCCAACTGCTCTTTATATTTATTAGTGCTTTTCAAGTAACCGTAGCGACCTTAAAGCTGCGCTCTTCTTACTTTTTATTTCTTGTCCCTGCAATACCTATTTTATTTTTAAATTCTTTGAAAAGCCGCTGTTAAGGCTGATTTTGTTCTTGGCAGGGGAGCTGCTGGCTTCTTTGGCTCACACAAGAGCAGGCATACCAGAAGTCATAACTACATTAGGAACTGTGGAGTGCCTTTGTAATCATTTAAAGTCTGAAGAAGAAGAGGTAACTAGCAGATGAATTGAAATAAGTTGTATTCTATCTCATATTTATTTGTTTCTTTTTGCTAACTGCATTACACAGATATCATTTTTATTTGCACATTTCCATATTTTGAGTCTGGCAAATATATCTTCTAATGGTAAAGCTGCCTGATTTTTCATGTGGTCCTCTGGGTCCAAATGCTTTCTAGCTTTTTCTTTTCTTTTTCATGTTTTTTCCTTTACATACATGTTTCTGTTTCTTTATCTGGCTTACCACAGAACTATGTATTTAAAACAGAACTTTATGAGAACTGAAAACTAAAAAGCCTTGCAGTAGATCAAACTCTGCTTCATTCCACCCTAACCTTGAAATCCCATTTGGAGTGAAGCTCATATGCTAATTATGTATAATGTATTCATAAACTATCATACAGATAACTTTCCTCTATCATCCATTAAGTTACACAGCTTGATAGTAAGCAACCCGGGTGTCTATTGCCACCTACAGGAGAAATGGACATTAGGCACATAGAAACGTGAAGGTCAGTCCTCTTTAGGCTATACCTCCTCCCACAGCACACCTGCTCAGTTTTTCTCAGGGTCCTTAGGGCAATGGATGTCTCTTTTCTTTCTATAAGGGCTAATTACAAAAGGGTGAAGAGTTTGGAGAAGCCAGGAGAAGTGAACAACCTAGGACACAGAGAACGTACAAACAGGAGACTAGGTCACAGCTTTACAGATCTGAGGCACAGAGGCCTGATGATGAAAAGCTTAAAAACACTCACTGCCCTGGTAGAGCGGTGTTTAATGGGAAAGGGAGGCATTATATCTTAAAATAAAAGTCCTACACTTCCTCACATGGCCAGCTAGCAAACGTACAAAAGGTAAAAACGTAAGACCAAAAGTAAAAAGTCAGCTACGGATCTTGCAAAGCCCCCCACAGATCCTCAGAGACCCCCTTGAGACCCTGCAGTCTGCAGGGGGCTGTACAACGTTAATGTACCTGCCACTGCAGATGCTACCGTGTTTCCCCCGGAAAGACACTGTCTTATATTTTTTTTGACTCAAAAACACACACTAGGTCTTATTTTCGGGGTAGGTCTTATTTTTTTTTTTTTTTAATGTACAACAATCTGCACTTATTCATGTACAACAGTCTACATGTATTCATGTACAAAAATATGGTGATCAGAGCAATCAGGGGTGCCGTACCTTTCCAAGAGCAATTTGCTAACCAATCGCTGGCCAGAATGAGCGAAGCGCACTTTCACTATCGATTCCTTACTGGCGGAGTGCATGTAGTATCTCTCCGCCTGTGACAGGAGCCGGCGCTATAGAGGAGGAATCGGCTTATGCGGCTCTGCTCCCTCCCTCCGGTGCCGCCTTGCTTGCTCTAGCGCTGGCTTCATTGACACCGCTGATTCTCTCCTGCCTCTCCCGCGGCTCTTCAAGTTCCCCCTTATGCCACCACCGGCCCTGGGAATGGTCACAACTGGGTCTTTTTTTATATCTTGCAGCACTCCTTACCGGATTTGTTGTACAAGTGGATGCTAGCAGTGACCACGGGGGCACCGTGCAAAAATCTGAAGTAGAAAAGGATGTCACCAGCACACCAAGCTGTAGTGTTCAGCAATTGGTCACTGCTAGCACCCACTTGTACTTTACAACTTTGCTGAACACTACAGCTTGGTGTGCTGGTGACATCCTTTTTTACTTTATATTTTATCAATTTCCAAAAATAGTACTAGATCTTATTTTCGGGGTAGGTCTTATTTTTGGGGAAACAGGGTAGTTTCAGTTGAACAAGCAACTATTTAATACCCTTGGTTTACATCTTGTTTAGGGCTTTTTCTTGTTAGGCTGGTTCACCTGTGTTGTTTGGGTGTGCCCCCTCCTCTGCTTGGACTGCTTTTTGATGTCCTTGGGTGGCTTACTATAAAGCTGCATCTCTAATGAATGATAGAGTAAATTGGATTTTTTGTACTCACCCTAAAATTATTTTCTTGGAGTCCATTGAGGGATACAGCTCCCTCCCCTCATATGCTATTGTTTTCTATTGGACTGACAACAGCTGGTGTGCTGTGGGAGGGCTTATAGCCTCAAGGGGGCTGGCCTTCAGTTTTCTAAATGCCTAGTGTCCATTTCTCCTGTAGGCAGCAGTGTAACCATAGATTCCTATTAATTTATTTTTGCCCTAAACATAACTGTCCTAAATTGTCAACTGTAAAAAATAGAATTGTTACCCAAAACAGTTCGCTATTCTCTAGTGTGGGTTACAAAGCAATGTCTAATTGCTTGCTTAAAGCAAATCTTCCATTTTATTTTTGTAAATCTTCTGTACATAAGGCCCACTGACTTGATCACCTGACTTTTGTATTTCTATATACCTCATTCTTAATATTTTGAGTTAAATAAATCTAAACATTTGTATAAAAAAATCCTACTAACTCATATTGACTAACTGTCATGTTCTAAGGTTCGTGTAGCCTGTGCTGATGCATTGGGATATCTAACATTCAACCGTACTGCCTACCGCCATCTTTTAACGGAGTGCAGGAATGAACCAGTACTGTATAATCTGCTCATCGACAACCTCAACAAAGATGGCAGAATATCCAGACATTTCACAGAAGAATTTGATGCTCATCGAAAAATAGGTCTACCCTCCCTCAGGTAAATAGTATCGTTTTTAATGGTTTTTGGAGATGCTTAAACACAAAAAGTGTGCGTGTGTGTTTCTAATGTAAAATAGGAACATGACTTAAATCAAGTTTCACTTGAAACAGAAAAGGAACTAAAGTCTGCTGGGTGGGGGGTGACTCTTGCCATAATGTGCAAATTTAGAGCACACTTACCTCCTAGTGTGTCCTCTTCCAGCAATAACAGGTCCATACCCTTCCCACTTCTGACAGGTCCTGTATTGCACCTCTTTGGCCACTGATGATGTAACTCTTGTGTATGTGAAAATTACAGTGTCCTCAGCACTTGGCTTTATTCACGACATGCAAAGAATGATCTAGGATGAACACTGAATTACAAATGTGCAATAAAAAAAATTCAAGGAGCATGGGGAAAAGTTTTTTTTTTTGTTTGGCAAAATAGATTTTGCATGTCTCCCCTGCCAAAAAAAACCTTAAAGGAGAATTATGAGGCGAGTGATTTTCACTCAGCCTCATAATCTGAGCCGACCTGTGACAATGAAACTGTCACAGGTCGGCTCAGTAGATCGGGAAGTGAGCGAACACATACTGTCGCTTGCTCACTTCTCGGTCTATCCCTGCAGAGAGCCGTGACTGTCACTCACAGCTCCCTGCAGGGATTCCCCCTCTCCGATCCTCCAGCGCTGACTGGCGAAACGGACGGGGGAGGGCACAGCTGGCTCTGCCTCTGGATAGACAGAGCCAGCTGTCAATTTCGCAGCTGGGTGGATCCAGAGAGTATTGTCGGGATCCGTCCCGACTGCGCCGTCTCAGCTCACGGTATACTGAGCTTTGGGTCACGGGAGGACGCTAGTTTGTGTTCTCCCGTGACCCTTAGGAGAACTATGGGGAAAAGCCCTAACCCCATAGTTCTCCTTTAACTTCTTTTATATTGCAGGACTTTTGTTTAACTTTAAGTAGAGAGGAAGTGTGTCACAAATGTATTTAAAGCCAAAACCTGAGTATAGAACAGGAAATGTGTAAAATCCCTGTCAGGTTTTTATCTTTTTCTGTCAGTGTCCTGTGGGGAGATTTTCCCTCATTTCCTGCCCCGGAAACAGACAACAAAAAAGAGGAAATTACTCCAAAGTGAGTCCCCCACTGGAAAATGTTTCCTCAAGCAGAATGAGCTGAGCTGCTGAAAGTAAAAGTGCTTCTCCAGTAGGATGTAGCTCAAAATATGTGAATGTTTAGATATCCATAGTCTGACCACAGTTTCACATTTATGGAATTCTGTCACAAAATAAATCTTCCTGTATATACAGTATGGATAGGAGACAGCTTGTAATGCAGCATGGTTTGTCTTTATAAACCCCACAGAGTTTTTCATATTGGTGCATGAGGGTTCTTAAGTTGTAGTAACTTGTTCTGCCAAACAAGTTGGCTTATTGTGTCTTTTTTTTTTTTTCTTTTACTGTATAGCTTAGTTAAAAATGGTGGCCCTCCTATAAACCCATCATCTTGGAAAGGTATGCTGCTTTATTAAAACATTTTTTGCATAGGATGATCAAAGTGATGATTGATTGGAATACAGTGGAATGTGTAGTTCATTAATAATATTTCATTTATTTATTTTTTATTTACAAATGAAGGAAAGCAAAAATTGTAATGGAAGAGACACTCACACAGCACCTTAAGCATATGGACTGGTATCCTCATAGTAAGATGATGGACAAGTGTGCAATTTTAACACAAACTCATGTTCACATCTGCACTCCCTAGTGCATGCCCTCCTTCCAACAGCATCCTGTTTTAGGTGTAACAGACTTTTCTGCACGTTCATCCCTTGACTCTTGTGGCCAGACAGAGGAGGCCATTGGAAACGATCCCTCAAACGTTAGCAATTCACTGATAACGTAGGTTTCTTATTACTGCCCATCTGGGGTGAGTAGCACATAAAATGCCCACTTCTGGGATTTAAGAACTCCTTGAATGCATTGGTGTTGTGCTTTGCAACTTCCTCTTGTAACACCAGCTCGATACTTACTAGCCCTATAGGCAGTGGCGTAACAATCGCCATAGCGACCCAGGCGGCCGCTATGGGGCCCTGTGATTTCTAGTTACGCCCCTGCCTATAGGTATCTGGATACTAGCCTGTATGCTGAAGTGCTGGACAGGTAGTTCTGGGAAAATATGTTTGTTTTTGTTTACTTTGCTAGCAAAAGAGTTTGAAGTGAAGTACTGCTCCTCTAACAATGGACAAGAGTGATGAGCGAACACTGATATAAGACAGGAAATACTACTGTATGCCTTCTCTTCTAGTAGAGTACATTCTACCTTGGAGTGTCCTACCTCATGCACATGCAAAGTTTTTCAAGCCACAGATAGAGGTAATTGGTGAAACGAGATGTGGCTGAAATGTCTGAAGTCTACTCTACCGTCTCCTGAATTATAGGTTTTCACCCACTTTTTATTCCATGCTTTTGTGTAGAGCAGAAACCGAGATACAGACTTGACTGACAGATCTCATCTCACCACAAATTATCACTACAGCTGCAGGACTGACATACAGTCCTGCCTTTTACCTAGCATGGACAGTCATCTGCATACCATCTACACAGATCCCACAACCTTCAAATTCACTGCACTGTAAAAAAAAAAAAATCCCATTGTTTTTACAGAAAAAAATCTGGCAGCTGTGGTTGCTAGAACAATTCTGTAAAAAATACATTACACCTGTAAATTCAACATCTTTTTTTTCTGTTTTTCAAACTAAAATGGTACTTGTGGTTGCCAGAAAAATTCTGTTAAAAATACAACTTTTCAGATCACAACTGTTTTAAAATGTAAATGTTTACAGTTTAAGAGTGTTGTAATTTACCAAAAATTACATTTTAAACTGGTAAAACTATAAGCCATTTTCTGTAGAATTATCAATATCATGCAGCTACTAGTTCGTTCACTGCAGGATGAGGCACTGAGGGTTCTTTATTGTGTGTTGAGAATGTAATGAAAGAGCAATGCTGATTAACGCGCCTATAGTGTTTACAAGGCATTCGGCAGGCATTTTTAAGGCAGTAAGGAGGCGGCAAAATGCCCTGCAAGTAGGGGAGTGTGTTGAAGGGTAAAGTGATGTAAGTAAAGGGAAGTAACCAGCAGTGGCCACACTTCTAATTTTTTGTGCAACGCTTCTTAAATGCCCAAAAAATCCTGTAGGAGCATTGACCAAGCATTTGAGGGGCATTTCAGCATATCATGGGCATCGTGAAGGCATTTACGCATATCGTGTTGCACTCTATTTTTTGACTCACAGCAACACAACGTTAACGCCCATGTGTGAACAGCACTGGATGGTTGCAATAGTGTTTTTTTGCATATATATATTGCTAGCAAGCAGTAGATATATGAAAAAACATTTAAAAAAAATAAAATAAAAAAAGTTACCAAAATGGTAAAAAGAAAACTTACCGTACCTGTCTCCACCGCTCGCTCCCAGATGTAGATCTGAAGCTTCTCGAGTAGCCGAGCAGGAGGAGAGCTGGCGCATGCGCAGGAGAGATCATCGACAGGGAGAAGAGGAGAGACACAGTGGAGGTGAAGGCATGCAGACATGAGTGTCGGACAGACACCATGGGACTGGAGGATTCTGCGCTGGATTAGAGAGCGGCACCAGCGTTGGAGGGATTGCTGAATACAAGTGGAAGGAAGAAGATGATCGGATCAAGAGGCATCATTTAATGATAGTCCTTAAAGCAGCATGGAGGAGAGGAACATTTGTGACTTTAACAATTGGAAAAGCATCCTGGTACAGAATCCTGAATCCTTCACACAATTACAGATTTTACCAATTACATCATCTGTTAAACATGCCATTTTACAATGGTGCAACGTTTCTTTTTCAATACAAATGTTGTTTTATAGGATTTCTTTGAAACAGAGTTTGTATGAAGGTTGTTACAAGTATCCCTGCATATGCTGATGTGATTTAAATGATATTCATATTATTTATTACTAGGAATCCAGGAAGGTCCTAATTTGAAAGTTACACACCAGAGTAAGCGTTTCCAATCTAAGTCTGCAGTGGTTCGCATGCCACAGAAACCTGGGACAGCAGACCCTACAAGACAGAGAACCTCGGCTGTACCATTGTTACCTGTTTCTGCTGTTACAAGACCAAAGACTGCTCACCTGGGAAATGTGAAGCCTTTTCAACAGAAGGTGGCTAAATAAAATACATTTAAATAATTAATATTACTGGTTTGAGTCAGTTCACTGATGACTGTTGAATAGAAGGCACTCTGTGTTGTAATGTAATGTATATTTTAAAAAGAAATAAAAAACATTAACATAAACACAAGAGATTTTACATTAGTTGACCATCAGCTGGCACTTGGTTCTTTTTTCAGAAGTCCAGCCAATGGTTAAAGAAGCTTTGTCCGCTATCAACATTAGAATTTTGGATAGAATGGGGAAAAGATTTCCTGTTCCCATTGAGATTTCCCACCACTTTCTGTCCCAGGCACATCAGGAAGTAAGGAGGTACAGGGGTGTGGAAATTTTGGAAAAAACGACTTGTCCAAGGACTAAAGCGGGGGCCGAATCTACTTGTCCTTCATGACAATCTACTTGTCCTGATACAAAAAAAATAATTTTAGCCAAAACCGTATTTAGCAGTGCTAAGAAGCGCTTCTCATTGGTCAGTGCCGTCAGGTGACTGCGTTGACCAACGAGTGCTTGCAATTTGTGAGCGAAATTCAGAATACATAGAACAGGTACAGATAGTACACCAGTACTGGTGGAGGAGGAAGGATCGTTCGCCGAAAATCAGGCAGATTGCGGTGTTTTCCGAGCGGTAGCACACAATCGCAGTTTATTCACATGCAGATGGGGCAGCAGGACTGGTTTTCATTTTTTATTTACTTTTGTAAAATGTTTTCATTTGTTTTATTATTTTTACATTTTTATTTTGTTACATTTTTAACTATTATTTAGTACTTTTTTTTTAAACTATTCTTTTTTTAAACTATTTTTTTTTAAACTGTTTAAAAAAAAAACTTAACTGTAGTGCTATCACACAGTGATAGCTTTTGAAGGTGACAGGTTCTCTTTATTGACCCTGTCACCTCCA